TTTCTGATCACTTATACCCATTTATGTGTAATTTCTGTTTCTAGCTGCATTGTTCAGCCATATAGAGTAGACAGCAGCAGTTGGACACACTAGAACAGTAGTGGGAGAGGAGAATTTTGGCTGTGGATAATAAGGGTTTATTCACTTTCATGAAATGTTCAACAGACTCTTTAACATCTGCATGTAATACACATGACCTCTAGTTTTGTCCAGACATAGCATGGTTTATAGAGTTTCAATCTTGCTTTCACTTGGCATCCTTTCAGCTCCAAAAAAGCAACTACTCTGTAAAAAGAACTTTTTTGTGAAAGTTCGTTTCTCTGGTTGCCAATGAAAGCATTTTGTTCTTGGTGGTATTGGAGCCTCTGAGAAAAGGCTTGCCACCTCACAAATGTATCAAAAACTTTTAAGGCCTTTGCTGAGATTTTTCCATATGGAACAGCTAAAGTTTTTTTTAAAGTTATCCACATAACTTCCTAGCTGGAAAAGATGAAGGGGAACTGTTAGGGCACATATACATGAGCAGTGAAGCTGCTCCGATGCTCTGTAGTTACAGAGTATTGGAGCAGACTCAATTAATCCAGTCTGCTGGAGTGTGGTAATTAACACTCCAGCATCTTGTGTATCAGTGTCCTTGCACTGAAACATGGTGGTGGGGGTGCTTTAACTAAAGCTTGTTGAATGAGCTTTTAAAGTGCCCCACTGCCACTATTCAGCACAGGGACACTGATGCATGAGAGATGCTCTAATTTAAAGTGCCACCCCCACCTCCTGGAGCACTTCTGTAAATGCCCTTAGTGTTCTACAACCCTCACAATCTCTTGCTTCTGCCAGTGCCACAGTTTTAGCAGGTCAGTTCTGGTGTCAAAATAATTTAAAATGCCAGGAGATATATACCTCTGAGAAGGGATAATGGACTGAATCTTGAAGTCACTTCAAGGCAGTATAAAACCTGTTTCCTGTATGGAAGGAGATTTTTTTTTTTTTTTTTTTGTGATTCTATCCCCCACCCAGTATTGTAATGCATCTTCCTCTGGTTCATCCATATTATGGGAGCTACTGGTGCAATAGGAGCAAAGATCAACAAGCGTGCCAGTCATTTGCCTTCACTAATCAGGTTAGTGCTGGATTCAGCAGTGACCACCTCTACGCAGACATAGGCTTGCCTTGTCTCTAACTTTATTTTTGTAGATGTAATATGCAGATGAGACTCTTAAGTGCAAGAAAGGAAAACAAGCATGTTCTCTGTTGCCATTCAGCAACGGGAAAGAATTTGGTTGCTGCTGTAGAGGTTTGGATAAGCACTCTGGTCTGTAAGCCTTATCTAACTGCTTTGGGTCTGCCAAATGAGAATTGCAGTACTATAGGAAACTGTTTTTGATCATGTTTTCCAACTTTGGGCATTATCTTCATGACTATTAGACTTGTCATCTTTGTGGTTGCACATTGTGGACCAAATTCTGCTCCGTTACATCCATTCATTTCCATGGCAATTGTTCTTGAGGCAGAGGCTGGTCCTGTTCGTACAGTTCCTGAGAGAGAGATAAAAAGCACTCGATTTGGTTCTGCTTCCATACCAAACACAGCAATGGAGGCAAGGAAATAAAGGACCCATGCTCATCAAGCATGTCTAGGGTTATGTGAGTCATGCTGTTGGATGAGCTAAATTTATCCACCTCATGCTTTGATATCATCCACTTGGTCACCTGGACAATATGTTCTGTGTCTTATTCGTTTACATTGAAGTCTTCACTGTTAGAATGTACAGCATAAGAACATCTCTTGCTCCATGCAGCTTTATCTTGTTAAAATAGAACTAAGTAGTCTTTGTTGGACAACTTAGACAAATAGTTTAGGGCCAGGACAAATGACATCATACTCCTCCTTCCCAGTGTATATTCTCCAATTACTGGACTTTGGGTTCCAGAAGAGACAGGAGAGAAGTGTGTATATATACAGTAACTGAAGTACATGTGTGTAAATATTGTTCACCAGTAACTTTTTGGTGATTTGTAAAAGGTTTTCTTTGTTTTGTTTCCTGGGTTTTTTCCTTCTTATTCTGTCAGCGTGGATTCACTCGCTCCCAGAATCTTTTGCGTCTCAAGCTTTGTTCTCGTAAGAAGATGCAAACCCAGATATGAATTTGGCTCTCAGTGGAAGAAACAAAGGTGGTGTGACTAAATTTGTGGCGATTTTTTTTCCTTGTAATAAAAATGAGCAGCTCAAAATAAATCTAATTTCCCTTCAGATAAAATGTACTTGCAGTCTTTCCTCTTCAGTATCTTGTTCAGTATCTTGATACTTGTTGATTTTTAATTACTAGTGGTGCAAGACTTGAGGTTTTTATCAAAGTGCTATTCTACCACCATGCTCAGATAAAATGAGTGATTGGAAATGCCTCTGCAAAGCCAAAATATAATTGGAAATGAGAACATCAACAGTATCGGTCAAGTCAATGAAGTTCTGCAAGGTTTTTTGTCCAAGCAAGTTGAGCTTGTGAGTGTCTTTGGTACTCTGTCCAAAATGTTGCTGACCCCTGATTTAGATCCTTCATGTAACTGGGCTTTATCCAGTTTGCATTGGTCTGTTTGTTTTCTCTGGCCACACAAGATACAGTGTAACACCTTGCTCTGAGTGTCATGGGAATTGCTTTGCCCTTTCATTAGTTGTTTTTGGTTTGTGAATTAGAGCTGAAGAAACCTTCACTACAAGAGCTGAAATGTAACAAAACCCAGGAGCGGGAAAGTTTTGGTACAAGCTTTAAATAGCGATGTTTCGGGCAATGTAAAACTGATTCCCTTGCCTCAGCTTCTCTTGACTTTGTGCAAGTCTGTGAATTGAGCCAAAACTTGGGTAGAAGTCTGTGTGGTGAAAAATGCAGAAACTGCTTACCCACACCCTGTTGCCTCAGACAACCAAATTTCAGCCACCTCTTCTCAAACTTCTGTTTATTTCTGAAACTTTGCTGACCCGGCAACTAGCTTGAAAGACAAAAGAGTCTCTTTCTCTTTCAGAGCATTTTATGTTTCCAAACACTGCTGTGATATGGGCTGTATCGCGGACCTGCTGGGCTTGTATCATAATGAAACCTTGTTTTGCTGGAGCCCTGCACCTTGCTGTCCTCTGCTGTGGCACGTGTATTTTATTCTTCCCCCTCTTCCTTCTCAATTCAGTGTGGTGGAGAAAATCAAATCCCTGGCTGAACAGCTGCATGGAGTGACTAATGTGACTTTTCAGACAGGGAGCCTCCTCCCCCTTCTCCATTTTGATGCAAATATCTCTTGGCATCTAGAAGTGGGATTAGTGCAGGTCATGTAGGCCAGGAGCCTCTGTTCACTGTCCCTCTCTATCTAAGCAAGGGGAGTTTGGCTTTCTCTTATTGTTTACTTGCTGAATCCTTTAGTCTTGTGCTGGTTTGAATGCCTCCATTGTCCAGGCATGCTGCCAGAAGCAGCAAGTCTTTTGGCTCTGTGTGCAATGCATTATGTCCCCAGGAATCCAGCTAATAACTTAATAGCTTCTAGTCTCTGAGCTCACTCTGAAAAGTACTTTGTTGTGAGTTGCAGAGCACACAGATGGAGAGAAGCTACTTATCTCCAGGCTGTCACATTACTACTTGTTCTTGAAATCAGGTGCCTTCACAGACTGCTGTTCACTGAAGACCACGTCTTTTTAAAGAGTTTCTTTCCGAATAGGATTTGACACAATGGAGAGAAAAGCAACGGCATCTGCACTTATAATGATAGCTCAGAGGCATTAAAGCTTTTTTCAGGCACACGCACACGTGCTCTGCCAACACACAAGTGCAGCAGCCTGCACAAATTAGCTTCACAATTTGGACTCCCTTCCCTCTTAATTGCTGCAAGTATGGGAAGCAGCGTGATCCCTTTCTGCATCTGATCGGTCTAATCTCAGACTGTGACTTGCTCATCAGCTCGTACTGCGTGGTAACTGCTACTGAAAGTGAATTTGAGAAGTCTGTGGTTAAGATTTTGGAGGGAGCATAACTGTGTTCAAGGAAGAAAACCACAGATGCATCAACCCCTCTGATTTAGATATCGACTTTTTGGTGAGTGGGGTGAGAGTTAGAGGTAAAAAAAAATCAGAGGACTTTTAAATATGGTGCACTAGAAAAAGCTGTTGATGGTCATTTGCTTTTCCTGTCTATCCTCTTAACTTTGACTAAACTGCTGTATTGACTGATCAAGGAATTCTTTTTTCTAAAAAGCTTTTATTTCCTCAGTCACTGTGATGCTATGACAAAATTCCTTTGTAGCTTCATTTTAAACATATAGATGAACTCAAGCCAAAAAACTCCTCAAGTCTGGATTTTGGACTGCATAACTTTTCAAGGGTGTTCAGGACTGCTCCATCTCTGCTATTAGTTTAGATTGTGCATTCTTATTTTTGGTGGTGAGGACCTGTTTACAAGAGTGTGAATGAAGATGGTAGAATGTTGCTCTAAATGCTTAAAGTCTGAAGTTTTACCCCCAGCAAACTGTGCAGGTGTCTTGCTAGACAAGTTTTAACATGCCTCCATGAGAGCAAAGGGCTCTCAAGGAGCTACAGGCAGAGCCAATTCTTTACTTGCTGGGTTTTTATAAGTTTACACAACAAAGGGTTTTTGTAGGTAGCTGCGATTCCTAAAAGCTTCCACCAGCTATCTTCCCTTTTCTTCTGAACCTCTAAGCTCCATCCTATTTTTTTTAATGTTCCCAGTTCCTGTAGTCTTGCAAAGAAATGACAAAAACTCAGAGCAGAAGTAGTTCACAATCATAAGCATAAATAGCAAGCAGCACCTATTACTATTTGTCATTTTATACTAGGAATTACTACAGGTTTAGTAAAATTAATCTTTGAGTTGATGGTATAATCTTTGTCACTCTGTGTGCTTGTGTCTTTAGTGTGATGCTGTGATCCACTCCCCTTTAAGCATATAACATGCCGGTTGTGTTATACCTTATGGTGATTTATGCCTGTCTTTGTGTGCCTTTCTTTAGGAAAGCATGCCTCAAACGCCTCCCTTCGCAGCTATGTTTGACAGCAGTGGTTACAACAGAAACCTGTACCAGTCGAAAGAAGACAACTGTGGAGGACTGTATTACCATGACAACAACCTTCTGTCAGGGTCTCTGGAAGCCTTGATTCAGCACTTGGTACCCAATGTAGATTACTATCCTGATGTAAGTGTACATGTTTTTGGAAGTTAAGTCGGCTGGTCTGATATGCCCTTTATAAAGGAAGAGTGTGGAGGCGCAGTGAAACATCATGTGTACCAGCGGCAATTGGCTCTAAAGGGGAACAAGTAAATGATTGCCAACTGTGGTCTAAATGGATTTGCTTTTGTAAGCCTGTGTTCAGCATGTTGTAACAAAACTGGGTCACAGAATATATCTTCTTGCTGTACTTCCCTGGTAACTGACCTCTTGGTGCCTACCAATGGTAACTATTTAATCTGCTTCGCTGAAGACTCTCTCAAAGGCTGTCATTCGAGATGACTGCAAAGGCCTGTCCATGTGGGGGGGCAGCATGGGAGGAAAGCATTTCCCAAGGAACTGTGTGTGTGAAATGGAAGAATTTGCCTTCTAGTATATTTTCCCCCCCCCCCCGTGCATCCCTTCTCATAGATTTTACAGTCATTCACTGAAAACCCCAGTGGCACTGTCAGTCCTGGTCCTCTACAATTGTCTGAGGTATCAAACAGGTCCCTTTTCGTCTTGACCAATTCAGAAGCTTTTGTCCACTGCAGCAGAGATGTTTAATCTCTCTCTCCTGAAAAGGAGAATGAGATACCCTGGGGAATGCTGAGGCTAGACACTGTTTGTTGAAAGTGTCCAGCTGAAGCTACAATTCTGTTTTATATTTGGCTTCAGTCAGCCCACCATTCCCAAGGGTGATTATTTATTTCCCACCCCCCCCTCCCCCCACACACACACTTTGATTGGAGTTGCTGAACCTCAGGACTGTACTAAGCAATTAATCATCCATGAATTCTTAAAAGATTAACTACACAACTACTTAAATTATTCAAACAAGATGACATATTTTGACTCTGTCACAAGCATAACAGAGTCCTTGCTGGAGTGTTTTGAACACTTCATTGCCTAAAATCACTGGTGTGTGAACGTGTATGCAGAGCTGACCTGAGCAGGGTGCGGGGCCTGGGGCAAATTAACCCATGGAGGACCTTGCCTCCTCTCCAATCCCACGTGCCTCGGACCCAAAGAAGCTGCTGCTGCCATCTGCAGTAGTGGCGGTGGCGGTAGCAAACTGCTGGATGCAAAGCCAACGGCAGCAGCATGGAGTCACCGTGGCTGCTCTGCCTAGCTCCGTGGGGTCCCCCAAACTGCAAGGCCCAGGGAGGTCACCCTGCTTGACCCCCTTCCCCGGACAGCCCTGTGTGTGTGTGTCATTTCTTGTTTTGTGGTAAGCTCAAAAACAAACTTGTCAAACCAGTGCAAAAAAGTCCCCTCCCTTTGTTTTGGTAAACTGGCAATGAATTGCTTTTTTTCTGAAAACACTGAACCTTAATGGAATATACCAGCTGTGATGAAGAAACATGTTACGTGTTAGAACAAGGAAGAAAATGTGATGATGCATTGTGCTTGATGTGTGGTGCAGTTGTTTTAAGCAGGGAAAAACAACACACAAGATTGCTGACACAGTAAGATTTGTGGTTTAGCAAGCTGACAAAGTTGCTTCAGGGCATCTTTCCCCTCCTGCCCCCCCCCCCCCCCCCCCAAA